GGGGGGGGGGGGGGGGGGGGGGGGAGCCACTGCCAAAATGCTACAGAGGTGTGGGGGGTAATTTAGTAGGACACAAACCTCATTCTAAAAATATTAATCCAATATCCTGTGCTTTTTTATTATCCTTTTAGCTCGAACACTATTTGTGAGCGAATGGAATCAAACTAAGCTATTTGCAAACATAGACTATTTTGCATTCTTGATCCTGACTAGGTTCACATATCACCTTCACCTGTGGTTTATTTAACCACGGTTTACTAAGCTGCCATTGGCAGGGTTCACACATCACACCAAGTCCACCCCCAGCCAACTTTCTTACAGTTTAGCCGCATGAAGGGCGAGTTCAGCCATTGGTCCTGCAATGAGCACAAGCAGATGACTGACGGTGTACAAGCCCCTTTGCAAAAATCACTTCTGTGCACACCTCATTTGTTTTGATGAGGCCTGCACAGAAAAGCATTTGACCGACTGTGGCCTGGGATCCCCTGCTCTTGTGGTGTCCTCTTTCCTTCGGTTCCCCTTTGCACGTGGGGATGCTCTTGAATCTCGTTGCGTTCTTCCTCCTCCTGCTCCTCTTCTAACAGGACAGAAACCTCTCGGAGCAGGACCTGACTCTTGAGTCTACCGCTCTCTCAGTTACTGCGGAGTAGGGATTTTGGCACAGCGTCTCAGCCTTAGAATCGCTTTCCCTTTGCTTCTTCTCCAGAGCCTTTAGCCTTGCGTTAATCACTCTTGCATAAGGCTTCACGGAGCTCGTGGGGGGGGGAAAGAAAACAGCGGGAGACGTGAGATCCGAATGCTCTTTTCCATTACGCAGCGAGAAGTGGCCGCAAGGAGGCGGTGTGCGATAGCAGCTGCTGGCGATGGAATAGCCCTGAAGCAGAACAGGCTAAACCCCGTTTCAAGATGAATATCGATGCTATGCAGGTGATCCTGTTGAAGGTGGGGGGAGTGTTATGCTGTAAGCCCATGGGTGGGCGATCTTGCCTTGTTTCAAAGAGGCCTGACTCCTGCGTTTACTTCTTCGCTTCCGTACAACTCTGGCTCCCCCCACCCCTTCCTTAGCGGTGTTTTTATCCTGGTGAGGTGTAAAATGATATGCATCCATGTGGAGGGCTCTGGATTTGGGGATGGCTCAGCGTTCTGCTTCCTAATTACCCCCAGCTCGTGGTGCGGTTTTCCATTCTATACAACAGCTCTTCTCAACTGGTCATCCTCCAGAGGTTTGCTGGACGACAACACCCGTAATTCCTGGCCTGTGTAGACCATGCTGACTAGGGGAGTATGAGGTTCAACTCAATTCTCTGGAAAGGTATCAGTGTGAACAAAGTTGCCCAGCACCACGCACTTCTTGATTGGGGGTGTGTGTGCATGTGTCATTCTTTGTGACTCTGTATTGTGGACTTGGTTTGAATGAATGCTGCAGAAGGATGTGGGTTCTGCCCCACCATGCCTTTCTTTTTAAGCAACGTTGCTATCATCCTGTAAAGTCATGTAAAAGACACATTGCTGCCTGTCTCAGCACATGGTTAAGAACTATTTAAAACAGGAACAGGAACACAAATAAATAAAATAACAACGGCAATGCCAATACAATGCCATGCCAGTGAGATCCTACTCGGAACCCCCTAAAACATACGAATCATCATACAAACCAGGTTTGCCACATATCCTGGCCCAGACTTGGGGATCAGCCAGGTCTTGAAGAGTTTGTGGAAGGCCAGCAAGATGGGGGATCTTGAGGGCAATGTTGATGCACAGGGCAGGTGTCGCAACAGAGAAGGCACATCGCCTGCGTCCTATTAGATGACACTCCTTCATAAAAGGGACCCAGAGCATGTGTTTTGAAGAAAATGGGTTTTTTCCCCCCCTAGATTAGTGGAACCTTGTTAAGCATTTGGACAAATCTTTAGTTGATTTTCTTGCTATCAGTGGAAGCTTGTTTTAAATGGGAAATGGATATCCATAGACAGCATTAGGTTGCTTGGAAATAATTTCAAAATATTTGTTGTTGTTTAGTCGTTAAGTCGTGTCCGACTCTTCGTGACCCCATGAAC